CATGTAATTTCTTAATTTAGTATCAACAGAATGGTAAAACATGGTGTTTGTGGAATACAGTGTATATATGTGGATGGTTTTATGGCATAGTTGCACAGTTTCTTGAAACTGAAGCTTAACAACAGTCCTTCCTTGCATTCCTTGCTACAGTAAGTAAAGACCCAAACCTCTGGAACTGAGGAATCTCTTCTCTTGACTTGAGAATCACCAGGCCTATTTTGTTCTCGGCCGAATAGTTTGATGGCCAAGTCTGTGCAGCTCTAATCTCTCCTTGAGAGAGAGAGGTTCACAGTTCTTCTAGCCTTTGTGGAGCCACCAGGAATGCAGATGCCCCATCATTCAGGCATGTTGCAAAGGGGGGATGCATGCAGACTAGTTAGCAAGAAATGAACACCCTATTATCAAATAGTATGACTTACATATAATAACTTTAGCTTAAAGATAACTGTAATGATTTTCATACAGTAATTATTGCAACATCAAATTAATGAAAATCTAATAAACTCTGTGTGACTGTCCTAAATCTAATAATAGACTAACAATAAACAGTAATTGTTAACAGGACTTTTTGAGCTGTCTGGGATTTGTACTCTAACTTCACCCAGTCTGCCTATTGAGCAGGTGTAGTGCAAGCAGTGGAAACTCAGGGTCAGTGTGCTTGGACTGGAAACAGACTCACCTCCACAGAACTGATCAGGCTGGACTGGGACTGACTCATTGCTGACTGGGTTAGAGGCCACACAGCTGTAGGAGTGAGAGAGTCCTTCTGTCACTCGATGGAGAATCAGGCGGGTGTTGAGGTCAGGGTCAACGGTGTGGATCAGTGTCTTTCCACTGCTCTTCAACAACAGGGTCACCTCTCTCCCGTTCTTCACAGAACACTCCAGAAAGCAGGTCCCACCACGACTAATGACTCTCACTTGAGGAAGAGAGACAGGATCTGAACAGAGAGAGGAGAGCAGTGAGGGCAGAGATGTTCAGGGCACCCAGAGAACACAAACCAAAAAAGAAAAATGAAGTTTAAACAATCTGCAGAAGACCTATTAATTTTTCAAGACATTTTCTAGAAATCCTGAGTTGTCCAGCCAGCACATGTCCACAGACATTCACAACAGCGACATATC